TCATTGACACAGAGGGTGACACCCCCTCCCCGTCTCCTTGCTTGTACTTTGTAAAGAGCCTGTATCCTTCCATTCCAACACTCCAGTCATAGGAGCCATCCCACCATGTCTCCGTGATGCCAATAAGATCGTAGCCCTGCAGGTGTGCGCATGTCACTTCTGTTTTCCCTTTGAGATGTCCTGGTTTATGTTCGCTTGGTATATAGTCTGCGTGCCATTTCACTCTGTGAGTTTCTCAACTTCTGTGTGAAGTACTTAGCAGATAGAGCTGAAGCACAAAGCTGACGTGCAGTCTTGCTCTGATGATTGCAACATCAGAGGAACAGCGTGATGCTAGAGAGCTGTAATTTCCCTTTGTTAGTTAACTCCGTAACTCCCCTGAAAAAAAAATTACAGGCAACAGGGGTTTTTACTAACTTCCTCGCTATTTGGCTTTGTGGTGGTTGGAAGCATAGTTGCAATTGTTAAGGTGATTTACCTGTCTACAATAAAGTTATGCAAAGGACCCTTTAAACACCAAAAAAGTAGTAGTGTCAGCTGGAGTCGTTCCAGTGCATGAAGCTTGATTGTTGGCAGCTGTAGACGTGGGGTGGTTCTTGTCCTGTCATGTTTTATAGCATCATTTCTGTAATGTGCTTGTCTAGCACACGTAAAACCTCACACCGCTACATGCCACGCAGGAAGCTGATTCTTTTCCCACGTCACTGAATGCAAACTAACGAAGATTTGGTAGGCTAGTGTCATTAACTAGAAGGATCTGTGTTGCAGAACAGCACTTAATCTTTTTCAGAAAGGAAGACTTCACACTTAAACCACAGAAATGAAAAGGAAGGGGGAAAATAACTGGCATTGGAATGGTAATAGAGCTGTGTCAAACCTGTAGCTGTTGTCTCATTCCTCTTCCAGGTTATATGAGCAAATTAGGCACTGTCTGAGGAATGGTTTCTAGCAGTCTTTGTTACGACTCAGGAGAGTGCAGGCCACCAAGACCTGTAAATGTTAGCCTGGACGTCAAAGAGCCTGGAAATACGAAATTGAAGTAGATATTTACTGCTTGTTGGGGGAGATGTGTAAACCTGTCTCTTGTCTCATTTTAGCATGCCAATGAAGATGTGGAGAGGATGCTGTTAGGAAACAAGTGTGACATGGAAGACAAAAGAGTTGTCCCTAAAGCAAAAGGCGAACAGGTAAGTGTTGGACAAAAACTTGCTTATGAAAGTAAGCAAATTACTGCCAAGACTTCCCGCCATCTCCAGGTGGTTGAGATGCCACAATGGGATGTGATAGGGGGAAGAACAAGGTAGCTGGATTTGCTAATGGTTTGTACGTCTAGGGAATGTTTTCTCAGAAGCTGCATTGCAGACAGCTGCTGTGAATGAAATGAGTTCAGCTGCAGTTTCTGCTTTCTCTGATAACTAAAAAATTTTCAAGCATCCTTTTTTAAGTTACTTGCCATGTGACAGGCTTGTATGGTATCTGTCGCCTTATGTTCAGACATTGACTTGTGATTTAATACACTTTAATTGCTGTTTCTGAATCATTAAGTTCCGAATCTTCTTTTGTGACACTTTGCGTAGCTGGTACTTCAATGCCTGCTATGGCTGAAAGTATATTACATGCTTATAAATGCCGCTAATCCTGAAGTTGTAGCAGCACCAATTGAATAACTCTACCGTAACGCTAACCACCTTCTTTCTTTTTTGGTTTAGATTGCTAGGGAGCATGGTATTAGGTTTTTCGAAACTAGTGCAAAAGCAAATATAAACATTGAGAAGGCATTCCTCACATTAGCAGAAGACATTCTTCGAAAGGTAGGTGCTTACAGGATTCGTTTGAAAAAATATCCTAAAATTTCAGCTCCTGTTGCTTTTGATGTTTACCTGAATTGTTGCAGCTTTTGACTTCGGCATGCTAAGACAAACGAGTCCCTGAAGAAGGAGTACTGTACATCTAAAGCTTCTAAGCTTCCAAAGCTTGTTTGGTGTCTCATTATTGTAGGGCTACTATGTAGAGGGCGTAGTATTCATCAAAGAGCCAAGGAACGTAAACTCGTAGTTGTTTGACCCTTAAACTCATGGTTGTGTTGTACGTGTGCTTGGACTTAAAACATTTCAATTGGCGTGGAAGAGAATTGTCCTTTCCCTGCCACCACCTCCATTGATACGCAACATTGTCTAAAAACTCTTAAGCGCCCGTTGGGAAGAGTTTAGATGTGGTTGATAGAACAGATGAACGAGCTCTGTCACTTCCGACCTTGTTTCCAATGACTAGCCCTCTCCACCTCTGCATTTCCTTGGAGGTTTTATTGGACGGTTATATTGCAACTGAGAGAAGAACGTGGATCACCAGTTCTTCCTGGTGGTTGGCTCCCCTTCCTGAAACGTACAGCGTACCGTAAAGGTGGTTGTCTTTTCTGTGGCCTGTACCCAAATCTTTGTACACCCAGAGCTACAGGATACTGCTATACTTGTGTCCCTGAGATCTTTCATGAGTAGAAAATGCATCGGCTTCCAATAGCTGCCACCATTTTGTTGCAGGGTTGAGCGGGGCTGGATATGTGGGTGGTTCCAGTTAGCTGATGTGCTCCCATAGCTGACTTGATTTACACAGTACCCCCTGTGCTAGCACATGCCTGCTTATGATCAGGTCATGCCTCTCCAGCACTGGAACTCTGTGGAGCTCAAGAAACGTGGGTTGGCCAACTCTAGCATACGTGCTTTTGCTCCTCAACGAATGACCCTATGTGTTTTTTCTGTGCTCCAGATTAGCGGTAGGGACTGACCCATACTGAGGCAGCCTTCATCACTGTCCTCCACCGCTCTCCTGCATGAATGCTATTGATAATGTCATCTGAGTTAGTTGGTTAGAAATTTAGTGCAAGGTCAATGCTGAATCGTTTCGCAACCCTTTTAAATACACATCTGCTCAACAATGTCTGGTTCGCCGTTGTAGTTCTGAGTTGTTTCTTAATCGTTTTTTTTACAAGCCTTATGTGAGAAACTGGGTGAAAATCCCTTCTTTTGGTGAACAGGAGGTCAGGCTAGCAAGTCTTACTGACCTTTTTGACCTTTAAATTTTTATTTTTGGGCCTTAATGTATTTATCTGAAGAACGGGGCGGGGGGTTGCTTTTGCAAGGCTGTGCCAAAGCGAATAATAAAAGGAATATAGAGACGAAACTGCAGTATTCTCATGAATGTTTAGGTTAGTCTCTAAACAGCTGAAAGTAGATGTTAGTGTCTGATGAAAACCACTTGACTTTGATTTTTGCTTTGGTCTAACCAAGTTTACATCCCGTGACGCAGATGAGCCTGTTTTGTCCGCTGCCTCGGAAACTGGTGTCCTGGTTAACTGGAAGGCAGATGCTTTTGAACAACCCCTCTTTATCCATAAACTACTCTGTGGTTTTTTTAAGGTCATTAGTTCATAATTTAACTTCAGCTTGTGTTAGTGGTATGCTGTGATTTACTTACTCCACCAAAGTCCAAGTGCAAGTTCTAAGAGTGGGATCTAGAAATAGTTTTAGTTTACTTTGGGGTGGTCTGAGTTCAAAAGTTTTGGGTTTTTTCCAGCTTTTTCCAGTTGTTGTTTATTTAAAACAAAAAACCCTTAAATTGCTTTTGCATACTTTTGCTGGCAAGGGGAGGAGGATTCCCTACATTTCTGTTGAGCTCTTTGTCCATGGTTTATTCATAATATTATTTGGTGATGTAAGTCTTTTTGTAAGCCTCTATCTCTTCAGCTCTGAATACTTTATTTCAGAATGTCTCAAGAGTCATCTAACTTTTTTTTTTCCACTTGTTTCATTGCAGACCCCTGTAAAAGAGCCCAACAGTGAAAATGTAGATATCAGCAGTGGAGGTGGGGTGACAGGCTGGAAGAGCAAGTGTTGCTGAACGTTCTCCTATATCACCAATCGCCATCCACCGCCCCTTTTTTCTCGCTGCAAAACAAACCACTCTGCCCGTTTTTAACCTTAAACCAATGTTTTGTTCCTCATCTTAACAAGCTCCTGTCTCCCTTTGTTTTTCCGTTTAGGACAGCTTGCGTACTATAATTTTCTCGACAACATGTATAGGAAAATCATCTCCGTGACTTCATTTTTTCATGTACCTGCTCAACTTACCACTACGTTTTGGTTGTATTATAGTCCCGTTCCTCCTGACTTTAAAACATATAGCAATCATATTCAACTCTATTCTGCAAGTTGTATAAGAATAAAAGTTAGAATTAACAATTTATTTTGTACAACAGTGGAATTTTCTGTCATGGATGATGTGCTTGAGTCACTATATTCTCTAGATGCATCAGCAAAAGAGCCAGGAAAACACTCATTTTCGCCTTGAGTATGTGAATGGGGTTTATTTTGTCCTGTGCCTTATGTGGAAAGGAACTTTTATTTTCACTTTTTTTTAATTTCTTTTCTTCTGGTGGAAGCATGTGCAGGAGACATACCATCCATACTTGACCATTTTAAAATACTGAACTCTTTTGTGATTGCTTTCTGTAACCGTTGGTGTAATGCATCGAGGACAAAGGGTGGTGCAAAAAAAAAAAAAAATTACATTTAATCTGCTGTGTCTCCTTTTTGGTGATCTAGCCATTCAGAACTGTTCCTGCTGCCATTTTTTTTTTCTCACTTGCAGCTCTTTCCTTTTGCCTGCATGCTGCTTTTATTTGCATTTCTTCATGGTGTGATGTGTTAATTAAAAGGATGGCAACGTGGTATGTTTGCCAAAAACTTAATACAAAGCACTGATTTAGCTTTCAAGGTAAAAATGTTGAAGATACCTACTAATTTCCCTCTAGGCAATGTCGGTTCACTAGTATATCTTCTCTCTCCTCCTGCATAGCCGTTGGGTTTTATGATATGGAAGAGTTATTTGCATGCACTAGTTTTCTATGGAGGGTGATGTGGTTGTCTACTTTATGTGTATGAATATAACATGCAGTTCCCAAACTGACAGCAGTTAACATGAACTTTTAAGTTCTCTCTTACTGTTAGCCGCTCCAAGTTGTTCGGTAGCCTAGCAAAAGGCTGAGTGAAACTAGATTTTAAAAAAAAAAGAAAGGAGGAAAAAAAAAGTTGGCAGTTTAATTTATTACCTCCCTGAAAACGTTCCATTTTCCAGTGTTAAAAGCTGAGTCATTGGTACTTGGGTCAGCCTTGCCCTCTCCCCGTGCTGTGGGAACGCGGCGGGTGATCCCAGCAGGGCTGCTGAGCCCCCCTGGGATTCACTTGCTTTTCCAGCTCCGGGCGTTGCCCCGGCCAGGCTCCGGTGCCACCGGCGATGGTGTGGCTTCGTCATTTCTGAAAGGAAGGGGGTTGAGGACTGCCAGTCTGACTCTGTCGACTGCTCCTGCCGAACCGGGCGTTCGGTCTGCAGGAGCGTTCGTAGGTTCACTTGCCTTGCATTGAAAATACCACGTAGGAGAGCTGCTCCAGCCAAGGACAAAAAGATATTTTAAACAGACACTTCTGTCTCCCCAAGCCTCACGTTCTCCTTTAAGGTTGGACAAGCTTGTGCCTCACTCTTGTCTGCTTGAGTTTTGGACTGTCTCCGGTAAATAATTAAAGTAGTAAATAATGCTGATTTAATTTTAATGAAATGATGGTGTTTTAACATTGAACTTCTAGTTTTGAAAGGCTTCCCGTGTAGTAACTTGACCGAGGTGTCTCCCTTTTCCTCTGTATTTTGGCATTTTGTCTCCGTGTGTGTTAACCCTTCCCAGTCGAGTGGCTGTTGGTCGGGCAGGACGCCGGGACGGGAGGGTAGATAAATCGGCACCACTTCGTTTCTCACGTCCCGCGCCTGCCAGTCAGCGTTGTAAATAGAGTACGGCTACTTTTTGGTTAAATCTGCACTTTCTAACATTATCAAAAAGGGAAAAATGGAGAAATACACATCAAGGTTTTTTTGTATAATCCTTGTTTTGAACGTGAGCTTTTTATTTGCTTCCAGGGGCTTGGCTCCCTCTGTGTAAATCCCTCGGGATCCTTTGTAGATGCTGTGTTCATTGCAAGCCAACAGGTAGAGAACAGGCCACTCGCTGGTACTACTAGCTACCACCTCCATTTCGTATTCTCCTTACTGAGTTAATAAACTGAAATATTTCTAGACGGTCTACTTCTGTTCATGTAAAAACCATGCATTTGAACCGCGTGGCTTGGCTTTGTTTTGTGTTGCGGAGCGCAAGGCCCAGCCGAGGAGGAGTGAGCAACAAGAGTCAATGCAGACGCTAAAAGAAAAAAAAAAAGTAATAATAATCATGTTGGAGGAATTTGCAGTAACTTTATTTCTGCCGGTATCTAAACTTCCTGCTAGCTAGCAACCTAACCGCTTGTGAAACCTCTACTTGGAAGACACCCCCTCCCCAGCCCTGTGTGTGGAATAAAGCCTAAGGCCAGCCTAGGAAAGGAGGCGAAAGCAGCTTTCCCTGCCACTGTGCCGGCGGTGCCGCCGCGGGGGGGGCTTTAGCTGACCCGGCCAGTGGAGGAAGGCTCGGCGCTACCTTTTGTCATGGCAAAAAATGTAACTTGATTAAATTGGTTGTGATAAACTAAAACCCGAGGTTGAATCTATCCGAGGAGTGTGTCAGTGCCCTGGGGAGCTGCCGGTGCCATGGGGCAGGGGTAAACGCGGCGCTTCGTGCTCTTGGACTCGGATGGTGGAAAAACAGCATCAACTTACGGTCTAGGATTAATTCCCATGCCTACAATTTTTTACTTAATCTTTTAATATTTTTGCTACTCCACTCTGGCTTTTTATTTAAAACACATTCTTTTGTACCACTTACTGTATCAAATTGTATAAAAGATCACTGTCCCATTCTTGGTCATACCAAGAGCAAATAAAAGCTTTTATAAACTTGCATTGGTTACTTCCTTGGCCCCCTTAAATTCCCTCTCGCCAAG